TTTTTATGTCAAAAATCTGTCCCAATATGAGATTGAAGTCAACCGACAGGCCGCACAGCTTTAAGTATTTTGATCATATCTTTTTCTCTCGATATCCAATTAAGGTGATTCAAACTGGGTTAGAAAGCTGACTCACTTTGATTCAGAAATCATCTTCAAGTTAGATCATTGTCTATGTCAAAAATCTATCCCAATTATGAGATTGAAAATCGGAGTATAACGTTTTGATTGAAAGTTGAAGTGTGTTCGTTTGAGGGACGTTTGAAAATGATTTTTCAAGATTTTTGATATATTACAAATGTTCAAAATCATTTTCATGTCAAATCAATTTATGTAAGTGATAAATTTATGAGAAATACTTGAGCTTTATGCACTTACTAAACATTGATGAGTTATACCTTTACATATAAAAATAAGGTTCGATAAATAACTGCATCTTCAAAGTTCTTGATCTCTTTGAGCATCTCTTTGATTTGTATCTTGATTTGCAATTTTGTTAAGTTCCAATTTGATTATCGCATGCAAATCACTATTGTCTCGAGTGATTTGTCTTGAATGATCGTTTAAACTTCACTTGTACTTCATTTGAGTGTGAATAATTATCTTTATAACTTTGAAGAGTTAAACACTCAATTCAATTTGTTAGTAAACAAGATAGACTTGTTTGTTATAATCACAACATTAAAGTCATGATCAACTATATGTCAACAAATGAGAATTAGCGTTTAAAGTTAAAAAAATTAGACAAAGTTTTTTATGATTCTACAACTTTCTTATCTGGGGTATACTACCCCATTAGTTCTATAATTCTTGAACGACTTTTTGTCATTGCAAGAACTTTTAATAAATACTGAAATGATCCTACTTTTACTGAAATGTTGTATTCTAGGAATTAAAATTTAGAAAATATTAGGAAGACTTGTCTATATTATTTCTTTTGGCGTACGTAATGGACCCCGGTACAATTTAAAATGTACTAAATATGTTATTAGACAAATCACAAATTCTTTAAATTTTGACACACCTCTCACTATTCTAATACAGAAATCATGTTAACTTCCATGTATGAATTGTATGCATAGCGATTGGGTGCAAATGTTAGTCAGGCACTCTCTATACCTACCCATTCTGCTAATCTTAAAAAAGATGATGCAGGAATAGTGAATTTATTTGAAGGCATTAGGGACATCGGATGTTAGTCCAACTGGAATGCCTATTAAATTACTTAGCTATTTTAATCATCAAATGCTTAGCAACGTAGAATCTGTTGATGCAAATACAAATTGATTTACTTGATTTTTGGCCAAAGAATGAATGAAGATATCCAATTGATTTTGTGATTGCAAAAGATTTACTAATATCTCCGGTTAGCACTATACCTTTGGAGTTTGCAAAATATTTTGAAAGCATTAAAGCGCGTAAAGAATTGACAAGACACTCTTTTTTTAATACAACATTAGTATGCCAAAATTGTGTATAGTTAGGTAAATGATATTTAATTTTCTCATATAATTTAACTTATTTATTTTGTTAATAATATTTTGATTTTAAAAAAATTATATACATAACAAGTTGTTCGTATACAATTGTAACCCTGCCCACTCTAAAATTAAGTAAACGGACCAGACCGGACAAATGAGGGGGGTTATCAAAATAATTTTTTTTTAAAAAATGATAATTCAAATCTCAATTTAATTTATTTATACATTCTATTTTTACAACTTTATACATTTCGTATAC